AAGTGTATGACAATAAGTACAAAGTACTGCCAACCAGGAAAGTTTGCATTACAGCTTGCATTTTGATGCATTTGAATTGTCAAAGGCTAACATTTGTAGAGAAGCCCTGACTCTTGGTTCTTAACATATGTTCAGGTGTAATTTGAGTTCCTTCTTATCAGTAAACCAGCCATGTGTGGCTTGGCTGTCAGATAGAATGCCTTCATATGGAAGTGGGCTACAGTTGCCAGGTAAACCTTGGGAGAAGCAAGTGACTCTTGGGTCTTGTAAGGAGAACCACTGAATTTGTCTGGATGTGTCCCTAATGATTTCCTTGAGTTATAGCTCTAACTATTACATGGCCAGGTGGCAAGAAGCTCAGAACCAACTCTATAAACCTTTAAAATCTGCAATTGTGTATATATCTCACCTGTGTAGTCCTACCATCAATTAAAGTCTAGTGATGATTTTGTCTCTAAATTGAATGAATGAAATCATGACATGATTCAAGTGGAGTGCTGTTGGCACCATGCTTATGATTGCCCTCATTCTGGAATGATAATTCTTTGCCTTTGTCCTGTTTATGTCTTAATAAAAGGACCTCTTTTTAAAAAATTAATAAAAGGACCTCTAGAAATCAGGTCAACTTTATGTCTGCTTCTGCTCAAAACTTTGATCTCTGAAATATTACCAATGTACTAAAGAACAAAGGTTGAATTAAAAAGATACAGGTGTGGTTTTTCTTCCACATTTTCAAATAATCTTAGATATAGCAAATACGGAGCTCTGGTGGCCTAGTGGCAAGAAGCTGCACTGCAGTCCGGAAGGCATGTGGTTTGAATCCAGAAGCTGCTCCAAGAGAGAATAATGGGCAATCTCCTGTGAGATCAACTGCCTCTGAAAACCTGCTGGAGGATCAGCTATGGGTCAGTTTTGATTCTACAGTACACAAGAACAACGGAAGGAGATATTTGAATCTGGGTTGTCTTTTTCTCTCCCATTCACAAGACTTTGCTGTCTAAGATTTTTACAGGACATCAATCATGTAGGAAAGCAACAACTATTGGACTGACCTCAGCTGCTTCCCAATTTCCAGCCTTCCAAGGCTCAAACTGATGGCTGCAAGCATACAAACATAGTCATTCGTTATACAGTACATTGTTAGCATGTGGTTTCTGGCCAAACTGATATAGTGGATTTTGAAAAAAATCTTTTCAGGTAGAATATTCCAAGGGCTCAGAGATTATATCCTAAGTGCCAGTCAAGGCCAGTCTTGCAATTAGCTTCCCTTTCTCTTTCTCCAGTTCCAGTGCCAACAATATCATCAAAATGACCCTCACTAAGGATGCTAAGACCCCATGATTATTAAATCCAGTGGGAGTTTGTTAGCCCATATTTTACTTGACCTCTTTATGTTGGGATTTTAAAAAATATTTATTGCCATTTCTCTTGCTACAGCTTTTCCTGTGTAGGCTCCTTTGACTTAATATTCTGTCTGACATTCCTCTCCTTCCATTTACAACATTCACAAAAATGGATTGTCAACATTAGCCCAGATTCTGTGGTGAATTAAAAAAAAAAGGCAAAATCCTTACCCTCAAGAAGTTCACAGCCTGTGGTGAGGATAGAGAAAGATACCTCTAACCTCATAAGCTGCCCACTTTAAGGAGCTGTGTGCTCAATCAGTACCATTTACTCCTTCCTTTTAATTTTAGTACTACCATTTTGACTCAATCAAGTATGCTCTTCCTTTGACTTTAGTGGTTTCCCAGGGATTAATTTTGAAAATTATATTAAAATTAGAAAGATAAAACTAATCTTTAACTTCCAAGAGCTGGCCTGGCACTATTAGCTATGCCTGCCTTCCATGGTGTTGCCATACCTAACCGGGCAAGTAATGGAGTTTTCTTATGAAGCAATTTTAAAGGACATCAACATCAGACTCTGTGACCTCAATAAGCAAGACAAAAACAATAGCTCTCTGTAATCATGGCTGAACTCAGGCAAAACATGAAAACTGTCCAAGCCACAAAATACCAAACACTTGGTAAAACAATGAGAGACAACTACTTCTTGACCAATTAACCCTCTTTCTAGTCAACTCTTCCTGACAGCATTCAAAACTCTGCTTCCTGAAATCTTTTCTAAAATCACCTAACAGAATTGCAAATCCTAACTGGTTTAAGGTGGGTTCTTAGTGGTCTTTTGCTGGCATGCACAGACATATAAAAGATGAAATTAATATTTTCAAAATACAAAAAACAGTAAATGTAAAAGCCAGCCTACTTGTAGAGATTTCTGATCTCCTTAACTTCACAAGAAAGAGGAAGAGAATCAAGATTCAACAGTTCAAGACTGATTTCTGCCAAACAAGAGGTCTGATATGCCTGCACCTCCAACCTTTTTACCAAATTTAACACCTACATCTGGATGTCACTCTATTTCTCTACTGAGTTTGAGAATTTGGTGCAAGGGCCACACAGAACTCAGAAACATCACACACAGTTTTGGGCTTTAGTAGGGAAGAAACAGATTATAAATCATGATTAGAAAAAGTATAGAATATAGTTTTATCTATCAAGACATTTTCTTCTCATCCATGCCTCTGCCCAGTTGGGCAACTATTACAAAGCTCTTTTAGCTCTGCCAATAAATGCTGAGAGGCATTCCACTCAGTAAGCCTTGACCTGACGGCAAAGCTACCTTTACAAAGTGTCTTTAAAAAAACCCAAAAACCCAACAAACAAGACCCCCCCCAAAAAAAAACCCCAAACAAACATAAAAACAGAGACAAAACTCAAAACATATTGCTGCTGTTAAGACAGAATCAATTCATAGTTGACTTTCCAGTGGGTTTTCAGAGGCTGTAAATCACACGGAAGGTCACTGTCCTCTTTCTTTGGCAGATTTTCAGAGTGACTGATTGATCTGAGCGGCCAGAAGTGCCACCTTTGGGTTAGCAGCCAAGCACTCTATGGACTAGGATAGCAACCCACCTATTCCCTTCAGCAAGCCTCCTCCCTGCTCAGTTATCTTGCTCGGTAGACCAGAAACCCACTGTGCTGTCTCCTGCTAGTGCTGTTTCTCTACCATTACACCTCTGGTTTCTCTGCTTTATGGTTCTTGTAGGTTTCCAGAACAGGGATCTTGAGTCCAAAGGATATGCTTTACAGTAGGCTCTTCTTCTTTGGTAGTTATAAGATCTCCTCTTTGCTTTGGAATAGGCACTCTTAAGCCTAGTAGGATGACAGAACTAACCAGTACCAGTTCCATGCACCTTATCCACATGGTCTTACCTATACAAGGTAGGACCACACACTTTATTCACATTAGTAGCCATCTAGCCAACCTCCTTGATGGACCACAATATCTCACTTACATAATCCCATTCAGTCATTTTGTGGGAGTTAAAAAAGAGTATGGGTTTAAGGGCCATAGTAAATGATGCACTACTCTGCAAGAACCCAATATGAAACTATTCCCCACAAAAAGGGGAAAACACAAGAGAAGAAATAGAAGTAAATGGCTTCATAAGCATAAAAAATATGCTTGCTTGACTTAAAAAAGAACTATCTAAAGCAACTGATTCCATTGGTAAGGCGTTCATGTCAAAACTCAGTCTAGTTGATATAGTTGTCCCTTTCCTGAAAATCTTAACACTATAAAGCTCGAGAAACCTTGTAGTGGAGAATTTTATCCTTTATCAAGTTGGCAGTTTTAAAAAAAACCCTCAAAATAAACAACACACACAATAGCAAGGAGTTGGAAACAACCTAAGTGCCCATCAACAAACGAATGGCTAGACAAGCTGTGGTATATTCGCACAATGGAATACTATGCTGCATTAAAAAACAAGGAACTCATGCAATATTATTCAAAATGGTTGACTCTGGAGAACATTATGCTGAGTGAAATATCCCAGTCACAAAAGGACAAATATTACATGATGCCACTGTTGGAGAGAGACTGAGTAAGATGGGTTCAATAATGTATACTGCACTGAAACAGAGGAGGGAGAGAACCGTCTAAAAGAGAGATGTAACTGGGTATTTCTGTCATCACAGGAGACTAGAGCGAGGGCTGCATGGTGGAGGGGACCTGGGGGAGAGTTTGTAAAACAATGAAAGAATCTTTTCTTTTACTTTTCCATAATTTTTGGACTCATGTACTTATAACTTGTTAGTCAAATTTGTGTCTTCTAGGTTGCAACACCCCCATGATACATCTTGAAGGATATGTACATGTACAGCCAAGCACAATCAATAAGAATGCATCTGAATTCCAAAATCAATCTCCATAATAGTCTATGTGTTTCCTACTGCCAAAGGGGCCCTTTAGAGTAGTGAGAGAAGATCTTCACCCTGAAACCCACAGCGTCCCTTTTCAGCAGGAAGTAGCTAAGAGAATACGCCGTCCCCTTTTCCTTATGACTCAGGGTGAAGTCTCTCTCAGGGAGGAGTGATAGGGAATGGCAAAGGACACACTGACAAAGAAGATTAATCAGAACTGGCTTTGACAAGCACTGTGGCATTTGGACAAGAACAAACTGGGAGGAGGGTAGAGAGAATGGTGCAACGGTGAATGGGTGGAGGCCCAGAGTCTCTGTAAATGTTTATGAAAATTAATAAAATATAATTATAGAAAAAAAAATAAACAACACAATACAACTGAAGGCGTTGTGTATTAGTACTGCTATTCCAGACTATGTCTCTCTGGTGGTTCAAATCCACCAACCCTTCTACTGCCGAACGATAAGCAGTCTCTTCCCATGTGATTTACAGCCTCCGAAAACACAGTTGAGGGTCAGCTACAAGTCAGTTATAACTGGACGCAATGACCCTCAAAGCCGCAATCAAGAGTCTCAGCTCCCTATTAAGTCTTTATGCTCGGATTCACTTGGTCCTCCGCTGCGACAGGAGACGCTGCGCCGCTCACTGCAGCCGGGCTCAAGGAACGCATACTCTAGCCGGTAGCTCTACTCGATGGTAAGACCCACGGCTCCCTAACCCCCGGGCGCCGCCATGTTGGAGGCTCAAGGCGGTAGCGATGGCTGCGAGTGTGGCAGTCAGAGTGCCAGCGAGGCACGTTGCGCTCGACAGATGCTGGAAGTGCGGCCTGGGCTTTACCTGGGCGGAGCCGCGTCCGTGGAGGAACCGGACCGGCTGAAGGAGGCAGGCATCACGGCCGTGTTGACAGTGGACTCAGAGGAACCGTGCTTCAAGACTGCAGCCGGGGTCGAGGGTCTGCGGTGCCTCTTCGTGCCGTTGTTGGACAAACCCGAGACCGATCTGCTTAGTCACTTAGACCGATGCGTGGCCTTCATTGGCCAAGCCCGATTGGAGGGTCGCGCAGTTTTGGTGCACTGGTGAGTGACCGGCTTCTTTTGCAGGCTCCCGCTGTCCCTTGCCCCGAGGCCCCGAGATAAGACTGCCCTGTCAGTCCTCCAAAGGGTGGTCGGCTCCAGCCTTTCAAAGACGGTGTTTGAGCCCAATGTGTCACCCTTTGTGTCGGTCCATCTCTTTAAGGGACTTTGATTACTTTTTCGTGGACCCTCCTTCAGGCGTTAATCAGTCCTCTCAATAACGTGTTCAGAGTGGCTAAATCTCTCCTTGTTGTAGTTGTTATGTGCCGTCGAGTCGCTTGCGACTCCTAGCGACCCGATGTACAACAGCCTTAAACTCTGCTCTGTCCTGTGCCAATCTCACTGTCTCTGACACGTCCATCCCGATTATCCCAGTCACTGAATCAATCCACCTCATAGAGGGCCTTCCCCTCCTGCGCTGTCCCTCCACCCTACCAAACATGATATCCCTCTC